ATCACAGTATTTTTTATTTAATTATCATTCTATGAAGTCATTAATATGACTGAGGTTACAGTGTACACTTGACCTTAACCAGAAGATCAAGAACAATAGCCCATACTTTATATTACAATTTGTATCCTACTTTTCCTCTTATGTTTTGATTAACATTGTGTTACAATGTTTTTCCATGGCATTTCCAACTCTTTGGAAACATTTTAAATAATCATACAGTGTTATATTGTATGCATACCATAATTTAGCCATTTACCTTTTGCAAGATATTAGATTTTTCCTAGTTGTCCCACACTTAACATAAATCATAGGAAATACTTTGCGTGTAAGTATTTTTTAGTATTTCAAATATATCTTAGGATAGATTCCCAAGAGTTGAATTATTAGATCCAATAGATCAGGCTATTTTTTCTTTTATTCCTTATTTTGAAATCACCAAATATTTCAAATACACAGGAAAGTAAAGAGAATAACATGACAAAGACCTCTGAATCCAGCAACCATCTTTTATTTTTTGGGTTATACACAATTTTATTTAGTTTTTTAAATACAATTTCTATATGGTAAAAGGCATACATCTTAAGTGGCTATCTCAATGAATAGTTATATATATACCTATATGTCTCCATATATATATTTATATATTTATATGTATTTATATATAATATATATCTATACAAACACATATCCCAGTATGTCATCAATCAGACTATACATTTCTAGCATTTCAATAACCAACCCCTATGCTGTTTTGCATTCAGTAACCCCCTAATAGTAACAATAATTCTGACATTTATCGCAGATAAGTTTTACCTGTTTTTGAACTTTATATGAACAGAATTATTATGTACTCTTCTGCATCTGGCTGCAATCTATACAAACACATATCCCAGTATGTCATCAATCAGACTATACATTTCTAGCATTTCAATAACCAACCCCTATGCTGTTTTGCATTCAGTAACCCCCTAATAGTAACAATAATTCTGACATTTATCGCAGATAAGTTTTACCTGTTTTTGAACTTTATATGAACAGAATTATTATGTACTCTTCTGCATCTGGCTGCATCTGTTTAAGACTCTGTAAGATTCATCCATTTTGTTGGTCTTTTCCATTGCTGTGGCTGTAATCCCAGAAACAAAATACAGCAAGTGTTAGCGAGGATGTGGAGAAATTGGATCTCTTGTACATTGCTGATAGGAATGTAAAATGGAAAACAGTTTGATGGGTTCTCAAAAAGTTAAACATCGAATTGCCCTATGACCCAGCAACTTTACACTTAGGTGTGTACGCCAAAGAATTTAAAACAGGCACTCAAACAAATACTTGCATACAAATGTTCACAGCAGCACTCTTCACAATAGCTAAAAGGTAGAAATGACCCACATGTCCATAAATGGATGAATGAATAAACAAAATATAGTGTATTTACACAGTGGAATTATATTCAGCCATGAAAAGGAGTGAAGTACTGATACATGCTACAGAGTGGGCGAACCTTGAAACAGTATACTATGTGACCGCAAAAGGTCACATACTGTATGATTCCATTGATGTGAAATAGCCAGAATAGGTAACTCCATAGAGAAAAGATGGGTGGTTGCCAAGGGCTTGAGGGAGTGGGGAATGTGGGAGGACTGCTTAAGGGGTCTGGGGTTTTCCTAAATGGGTGAGGAAGTGTTTTGGAACTAGATAGAGGTGACGGTTGTACAACTTTGTGAAAGTATAGCGCCACCAAGCCATCTGCTTTAAAACGGTTCATTTTATGTTGTATGAATTTCACCTCAATAAAAAATTTAATGTAGTCACACATTAATATTTTTCTTTTAAGATTTTGTATTTTCTGGGTCTTAACCTTCCACCGCAAAACAACAAAGGTGTTTTTCCATATTATCTTACAAATTTTTTAAATTTTGCTTTTCTCATTTACATCTTTAATCCACCTGGAATTTGTATGTATGTGCATGATAGAAAGTGTAAAGGTGTAATTTTTATTTTGGTTTTCCATTTGGTTAGGCAACTATCTTAGCACTATTTATTGAATAGTCCATCCTTTCTGTACTGATTTGCAATGCTTCCTTTGTCATACATCAACTTTCCAAATGTGTGTGGGTCTTATTTTGGGGCTTTCATTTTTTCCTTAAGGTCTTAAGGTTTTAATATCTGGTAGTTAAGTTCTCCCTATATTGTTTATTTTCTTCACCACTGTCTTGTGTATTCCTAGCCTTTGTTCTTCCACATAATTTTAGGATCAGTTTATTAAAAAAAAAATTTGTTTAAGTTGTTTACATTTTGATATTTATTAAGAAAAATGGTCTGGAAAAGGATTGGGTCAAAATTACAAAGTGATGGGAGTTAAAATAAAACAATTTTTTCATTGTATTGTTTCTAGGAGACTGTAGACAGTCTAGAAGGCAAAGTTTATTTGAAAATCCTGTCCTCTACTGAGATTTCAACTGAAATTACACTGAAGAGCGCTGTAATCTTTATGATACTGATTCTTTTTACCCTTGAACATGGCATATTTATCTCTTTATTTTTTCAGTTCAGTTTTTGTATTTCAGATATTTTTTATTTCTTCAAATTTATTATTAGGAGTGACTGAAATAAAAAATATAATTGAGTCCCACAGTTAATTTTTTATGTTGCATAATAGTACAACATAAAAAATAATTAATTCATTGTCCCAGATGACAGAAAATTTCTCCTCCAAGTTTTTTTTTTTTTGCCGTTATAATTATATTTTAAATTTAATCATGTACTATTTAAATCTAGTTTTGATATCAAGGTCACACTGTCCTTATAAAATGAACTCTAAAACAATTTTTATAAAATAAGAATTATCTGTTTTTTAGTTAGACTCGCCTATAAAACTGTTTGGGCCTGTTGCTCTGTGGGACTGAGGAGGAAAATAAACTTCTATATTAACAGTTCAGTTTTTGTAATGGTTATTCGGTTTGCTTTTTTATTTCTTAAATATATTTTAATAGTTTACTTTTTAAAGAAAATGATTCAGTTCCACTAAATTTTAAAAATCTTCCAGTATTTGTATTGTCTCCTTTACATTCTCAGTTTCACTCAGGACTGCCTATTTTGATGAGTTTTGAGAGGTTTGCCTTCTTTATTAGTTTTTTTCCCCACCAAGCCATCAGCTTCTGGTTTTATCGATTTTCTCTGTTGCTTCTTGGTTTTTTATTTTCTTAATTTATGCTTTTAATGTTATTGTTTTTTTCTACTTTACTTAGGTTTTATTCTTTTGTTCTTAAAGTCTTTTGAGTTGAACACTGAACCCATTTTAAACTATTTTAACCATTTTTAAATATACATTTTAAGTATAAATTCACATTGTCATGCAGCCATCACCACCATGCACCCCCATAACTCTTTGCATCTTGTAAAACTACAAACAATAACTCTCCATTCTCCTTCCAGCCCCCGGCAACCACCATCCCACTTTCTGTCTCTATGAATTTAACTACTCTAAATACCTCATATAAGTGGAATCATACAGTATTTACCCTTTTATTACTGGCTTATTTCACTTAGCATATTGTCTTCAAGTTTCATTCATGTGGTAGCATATTGCAGAATTTCCTTCTTTTTAAAGGCTGAATAATAATCCATTGTATGGCTAGACCACATTTTTCTTATCCATTCATCCTAACCCATTTATTTTGTCTTACAATATTTTTTTAACACATGCGTTTAAGACTATACATTTACTTACATCAAAACTTACAAGGTTTGGTATATAATACTCTCATGGTTCTCCAGGTCTAAATATTTTATGATTTTCATTGTTATTTCCTTTTTCTCTCATGAGCTACTTAGAAGTTCATTATTGATAATAACTTTTAAGACTTGCTACCAGTTGCTAAATCACTTACTTAAAGTGCTGGGCCATTTTACACTTCACAAGCCATGTGGATACCAAAAATTGCCCCAGCTGACATCTTAAAAACAACAAATGAACAACACGTGTCCTATAGAACCTCCTGCCCCCCTCCCCCATACAAAATACCATACCTGTCTAGTCTAGGGAGTCAATATAATAAAGAGATTAAGTCTGGATTCAAGTGCTGAACAGGCCACTTGGTAACTGGAAATTTGGGTAACTAATTCTTTTGTGCCCTCTGTAAAACAAGGCCAACAAAACAGTACCTGTTTCACAGTTATTCAAAAATGTTTAGTGCCTAGCTGTCATGCAATAAATGTTACTAATTTTTATCAATTAAGCTTCTGATTTTACTTTGTATTTTTAATGCTGCCATGGTTCGTTATTAAGATAAACCCCTGGGTTCCTGGACAGTAAAGACCCAAGTTCCAATCAACTTTGTTATACTTGTGTCCAAAATATTTTCATGTTTCTCTTAAGTTCATTCAAACACATACAGTGTTGACAAAGGCAACCGCAGACAAGACTGTTCCATTTCATATTTAAAGTACACAGATAGACGCAAATGACAGAGCTGCTCACAAAATAGCACTCAGTCAAGCACAGAACTTAGAGATCCGGGGTCCGCATTCATGCTTTTGCACACTCCCCACAAAGATGGATCCATCGCCCACAGATTGAGATGTGCTCACAATTCCCACTCAAAACGTAGCAGCCCGTTGACATATCACAAGCTACACGCAGTGCCATTGCCATGCACAATAGCGACACCAATTCTGGTATGGGTAGGGACCTTGTTCTTACTTCCTTTGGGTTGGTTCTATTTTAGTTGTTTTTGTTTTTCTTAGAGTTATCATCTGCCCTCTATTCTCTCTACCCAGCACCCCCCCCACGCCTCCTTTGCGCATGCGCTCTGCATCCCTCCCCTCCCCACTCCTGGGTACCAGTTGGTACTCCCTGGCCCAGGCGGCGGAAGAGATGGAGCAGCGTCACGAGCGCCCAGCCCCTTAAAACACTGCTGGCTGGAGCCGCCTCCCTCCCTGCAGCCCGCGGCGGGGATGGAGTAAGGGGAGACCTGTAGACCTGCCCGCGAGGACCAGCGATGGAGTTAAAGCAATCTTTGTCTACCCATCTGGAAGCCGAGAAGCCTCTGAGGCGCTATGGGGCGGTGGAGGAGACGGCGTGGAAAGCGGAGGGACTGGGGAGAAGTGAGTACTTCCGAGGAGGGAGGATACAGTCGGGGATCCGTGCGCTGGAGCCGGGAGTCTCGGGAACGGGTGATCCTAGAGAGCGGACCGAGGGAAGCGCCCCCGCGCCGGGGCTTTCAGCGCGGGGGGATGCGCAGGGCCGCGACGCGCTCTCCCGCGAACAAAAGGGGGACTTCGGGCTGGGCTGCACCCAGAGGCTCCGGAAACCTCAGGCCGGGAGCCTGGGTGGACTCGGGAGTCCGGATCCGCACACTGGCACCTGGTGCTGGAAGAAAGTAGGGTCTTTCTCTCAGCGGCGGGGAGACGAGGGTCCATTCTCCGCCGGTGATGGGCTAGGACGCTGGAGCCGTTGGACCATCCTGGAAAGCACGCACGTCCCCGGAGAGGGGGGAGTGTCCGCTGGGCTTCCGCTGTGTCTCTCTCCCTGCACGAGGTTCAGGGCACACCTGAAATGGCCAGTGTTTCTTCTCTGCCTTCTGCTGGGGCGCAGGTGGGAGGGAAAGGGTTAGGGGAAGGTTAACTCTGTGCACACCCTCTCCCTTCTCCCTTGACCCAGTCAAAGTCTGGTTTCGGTACAATCCTCGCAGGCGGCTCTGAAACCCACCGACTGTGTCTGCCGGCGCTCTCTACATATTTTGGGGTCAACAACATTTCCAAATAAACCGAAGGTTTTTGTTTTTCATTAATAGGACATAGTAGTTGAAACTCCTGCCCTCGGATTATAGAGGCAGCCTCAGGAGTCCTAGGGTCATCAGCCGTCCTCTGCAAACCCGGGTGCCTCCCAACGTCCCTGCCTTTGCGTTGCTGGCTCTAGACCCAGGCCTCCTGCTGGGCTGGGAAAGGCCCTCTGGCCTTTGTCGGGGACCCTCAGCTTCCGGTCTTAGCGCTGGGTAACAGTGCTCAGCACCAATCTCAGAGCTATGCTGGACTAAAGTATTGCAAATGTGCTCTTTTCCTGTCTTTAGCTGGTAGAAGATAGTGTGTGTGTGCGTGCGTGTGTGTGTGTGTGTGTGTGCGCGCGCGCGCGCGTGTGCACGCACTTTCTTCCTTTCTGTAATTACAAATTCAGAAAATCTTCCTAGAATGGCTCAGCTGTATTCTGGTTCTCATGGGTTCAAGTTGAAACCATAATCAACTGTCTTAGTTCTGCACCTGGATCCCATAGGGCTCCCAACCTCTCTCCTTCTTTTCTTTTCTTTCTCCTTTTCAAACCTGGGTCTTTCCTCCTCTTTCATCCTTTCAAAGTCGTTTGGCTTATGGTACTTTGGCATGACAGCATGGCTGAGGGGCTCTGCTTCCTACGAGCTCAAAATAATACCTACAATGGCTGCCTTTTATTGATAGATTGTCATGAACTTTAAATAAATCATCTCATTCAATCCCACACAGCAACCTCCTGAGGTGACTATTATGACTGCCTTACATAGACAGAAATAGATGGAAAAACTAGGGCTTGCTAGGTGATGGGACTGAAGTGGCAGAGCCAGGATTTGATCCCCAGTTCATTGGACCCCAGAACCCCCTTCTGCTTTTAATGTGAAGGTTTATTGCTTTCGTGTTTTGGGGGAGCTTTCTAAGTCTGTTGAGAGAGTCCCACAGCACATTCAGTGATCTCGTGAGTATATGGCAGGTCTGTTGGTCCCTGGGGCTCACAGTGGCCCTGCAAGAATTCTGGGTCCATGCAGTGTGAGAGCTATATTCTAATAAGCCCTGGATTTGAATCCTGTCTCTGTCCCTTGATGCCTACGTGATGACTTTAGGCACATTTCTAAGCCTCACTTTGCCTCTGTTCTCTGAAATGGAGATAATAATAGATACCTGCCTTATAGCTTAATTGCGAATATGCAATAAGATGATGTATGCAGAGCTCAAGGTAAATGCTCAGTACATATTGGCTGCTTCGATTATTTCATTACTGCATCTGTAGAAGGAACCTGCTTTTATCCTTTGCAAGGAATTACATAAAGCAACACCCCGGACTCAAACTGCAATGTCGGTCAGTCTCCTAATAATTTTCCTTAGAGCTTTTTATTCTATTACCATTTTATTAGGAGAATTGTCAAACATACAGAAAAATTTCAGCCAACACTCAATTTATAGCATTCGAGCTCCTGAAATTTTTATACTTCTAAGTCTTAGGCTGCAAATTATTAAAAGCCTGACAGAAAGGCTTTCTCACCCTCTATGTTCCAAACCGTCGATGACTCTGACTCTTGCTTCCTATTCAAATGCAGGACCGCAGTTTCTGATCTGCTTTTCCACGGATTCCCCAATCTGCTTTTTTTTTTTTTTTCCTTTTTACATATTCAAACTTGAAATCTTCTTAAAGCACTGATCTAGAGTTCCACTTTTGAATTTCAAATCTGGGATTGTTACCTCTAACGAACACGTTTTTCTCTCCAGACTCTGCAGCTTGGCATTTTTCGATGAGAGTGGCTTTACTGGAACTCCCTCTCAACTCCCAGAGGGTCTGGGGATCCATCTCATACCATCTGGGGCCTCCATTTATTTATTAATGACGTGGGAAAATTAGTACTATTGATTCTATGGCATCACAATTGTCAAGTCAACGTCGCAATGCCTGAAATGCTGGAGAAAAAGAGAGGCCATTAAAAAGAAGACATGCTCTGTTTAACTTCTACACATTTTAAAATATTTTATGTTGCGTGCCAACTAAGCATTACTTAAAAAGAATTGAAAAGGGGGAAAAGATTGTGGAACCGGTCATTTTTAGTTGAGGTTGTATTAATTGCTTTCTTTAACTGTAGTTTTTAGATAAAAGATATGTGTAGAGGAGTAGCAAAGAATGGGAGTTTCGAAATCAGGTGAAATGGGTCCAAACCAGCTCTAACACTTTGTCACCCTGGGAAAATTGCTGAACCTCTCTGTGCATCAGTTACATCATCTGTAAAATGGAAATAATGTGGTTTTGAAACCTTGGGAGCTTCCTAGGTAAAATCTGAAACTGGCCTCAGTACACGGAAGACGAAGAGAGACCGAAGTAAAGGGCAGACCACTCCAGATTGGTAGGTGGCAGGTTTAATAAGCAAGGGAACTTAGTCAGGGCTTGTCTTGGGGGCCACAAGATGAGCAGATCTCTGTACCCACCCGCCAGTACCTTAAAAGTTTATATAGAGGCCTTAATGGGATTTAGTCACTTATACCATCCAGATGGTAGAACAACATCTTACTCTCTCGAGGCTGCATCCTTGAAAACAGCAGGAAGGGCGGGCAGAGTGCCCATTCCAAGGACGGGCGAGGTGAGGAGCCTCTGATAGTCTGAGTCCAGCTCTCTGGTCAGCCAGTGGTCACGTCTTCTCGATGACCTCTTCCAACAGGACAATAATAATAATGATCACTTTGGGCCATTGGGAGTATTAAAGGAGATAACGTATATAATGCATTTAGCACAGTGCCAGGCACCATGTAAGCGCTCCATCAGTGCTGAATGGCTTATTATGTCATAATAAGACATAAGAGGATGGTACCCAATACAATTAGATTATTCCAAGCTTGCCAGTCAGTTTTTCCTTGCATGCTTTTTTTTTTTTTTTTGGTAAATTCTAGATAATGATTTGCATATATACCCTTGTCTTCCTCATGGGAATGTGTGGGGGATGAGTTTTTGAACCCTCGAAAACTACCTGGTATTTTCTCATCTGAGAAAGAGTCTAAGCAATTGCTCCCATCTGCCGTTGACTACATTTTTCTGCTAGCAGTGATTTTTGTTTTTTACTCAGTTGGAAAATGTATAGTGACATTTCAGTGTGGTTAGATATATAAAAATATCGCTTCCAACCAACTGTAATTAATTGAGGGAGACACAAAGACAAGGTGCCTTTGGACAAAACACAGAGCTTTTAAAAAGCATAGCTGTCAGTGGTCATGCCATTTCTTGATGGATTTGAATGTGCCTTAAAGGATGCTCAAGATTTTGGACAGGGGTCATGAGGGCGGTCACTTCCATCAATGCCATGAGAGGTCACAGCACTGGCAAAGGCACAGAGGTAGAAATATACGTGCTGCGAGTAGGAGATCGTTATTAAGTGGAAAGCTCAAACAGCAATCTTACTATGAGCCCAGAGACATGACTAGTACTTAAAAGTCCTGGGTTGTGTACTGATTTGCAAGCAGGTCATTAAACTGGCCACTGTTTCAGGTTTAATAAACAATGTGGCGATTGAACTAATATGAATTGTTGGCAATCTATATAATAAGATTCTTGAGAAAGTTTGTGTTACTTTCATCTGTTTGATTAAATATGCTAATTTTATTATTTCAGTTTTATTTCATTTTGGCATTATTTCTCTTGTTATTGAAGTAGTACATGCACTTTATAAAAAATTCAAATTCATCTGAAATATAAATATAAAACATGAAAAATAACTGTAATCTGCTCCCCTACCCCCATTTATCCATCCAATAAATAGATATTGAGTGCTTTCTAAGTGCCAGGCAGTATTCTAGAGGCTGCAGGGTATGAAGCAAGACAAGACAAGACAAGACAAGGTTCCTGTCCCCATGGAGAAAGTGAGAATTGGCCGGGAGCGAACGTATCACATAAGCAAACAAATAATGTAGTTCAGATAATAAGTGTTACATGGACATTAATGGGGTGGGGGGGGGTGTATTTCCCATCCGGTGGTCAAGAAATGCTTTTCTAAGGAGGTGACGTTTTGCCATGTAAATGTCAGGGATCCAGGCAGCAAATACAAAGGCTCTTTCTTGGTGTACTAGAGGAAGAGACAGAAGGCCAAGATGATTGGGACCCAGAGAATCAAGGAAGAGAGAGGAGATGAATCAGAGAGGACTCAGACTGAGTAGGGTCTTATAGGTCATGTTGAAAAAAAAAAAGTATGTGTTTTATTAACATTTCAGGAGAGGCTGCTGACGATTGTTAAGCTCAAGACTAACGTGAGCAGTTTTTTGTTTTAAAAAGATCATACAGGCTTTTGAATGAAGAATAAGGCCGTGGAGGGCAAGTGGTGATCATTGTAACT